TATATATATATATATATATATATATATATATATATATATATATATCTGAAAATCTCCTGGACACTTGTCAGCTGGTTCAGTGTTCCTACTGTGGCAGCTCCCAAGAGTTTTGACCTCTAACTTAAGTATACACCAAAATTATACTAATGTAAAATTGATCCAAATTTGGACTGTGCAAGCAAACAACTCCCATCTTTCCACATAAGTACTAACTGGGGTAGCAGGATGACTCCTATCACCCAATTCAGGGATGATCAAAGATCTGAAAGTTATCCCAACACAGGTGGCTGTTCCCGGACCTCTTGTCCTCCTCCGAGCCCTGGGAAGGGGGTCCGTACAGCTAGTGTGGAATCTGTGAAACCACTGTACATGATGGCGCTGGGCCTGCTGGTCAAGTACCCAGACTCTGCCCTGGGACAACTTCGCATTGAGAGCACTCTGGATGGAAGCAGACTGTACATCACAGGGAATGGTGTCCTCTTCCAGCACGTCAAGTAAGCTGGGTCCCTCTCAGGGAACCACTTTGTCCCATCAGACTGCACCCTGTCTATCTTGGGGAACAACCATAAGCCTTTCCCATGAGCTAAAGGGGAAAAGTATCTTTGGGCTACCTCACTATTTTACCTCTTCCACCACCCCACCACCATCACCACCAGGTTTGGGCCTCTGAGGAGCCAACTGAAAACAATTTACAACGCTCTCCATGATTCAATGGCTTCCAGATGTTTTATTTTTCTGTTTTCTGTCATTCATTTTTCTATGCTAGGTCTGAAGTTCCCAGGCTACAGTGGTATCTTCAGAGACTTGAATATCCCAAGGAAACCTCTTTGCAAAGGTTTTCTCCAGTTGTAGGAGGCTTTCCAGAACCCAGGGTGATCACCCAAGATCAATGCAGGACAGGATTCCCAGAGGACATGGTCCCTTGAGAAATGAGCTCAGAATGCCTCTATTATTGCCAGGACATGGATTACTTTACATTTCTACAAAAGGTTAAAAAGGAACAACTCTGTTGGTACCATAAAATTCACCAGTTCCAAAACTGGAGACAGGAGTGGGGTTGTACAGTTAAAGAGTCTTCTGACCTAATTGTGTCATTTTGGATCTTTTAGGCCTATACCATCTTCCTTTTTTCCCAGAAATGCCCATTTATAATGTCACAGAAGGCAAATACAAGTGCTTTTGAAAGAGGGTTCAACCAGAGGCTGATGTTCATAACTTACTCTCTTCCTCAATGCAAAGGATGTTAGTACTCTCTCAAAGCCATGGTGGGCAGCCACACCATGAAGGAGAGGTCTCATGCAGATAATTATATAAGAGAACAGGAAGGAAGTGGCTAAGCTTGGGCCTCGCTCAGGCTCTAAAGGCTTGAAATGAATGGTTTTGGTTGGCTTTGCTGGAATAGGTCTGAAGGCGTGTTTAGGGTTATTCTCCTTCAAGAATCATCAAGCAAAGTCAGGCATGGTGGCACACAACTTTAATCCCAGCACTCAGGAGGCAGAGGCAGACTGATCTCTGTGAGTCTGAGGCCAGCCTGGTCTACAGAGGGAGTTCCAAGACAGCCATGGCTCTGTTACACAGAGAAACTTTGTCTCTAAAAACAAAAACAAACCAAAAAAAGTCACCAAGTTAAATCAAGGAAATGATTCTTCTGATGCCACATTTGACCCAGTGCTGTGACATGACACCCTGGTCATGGAAGGTTTACATGCCAGATTCTTTTTTTTTTTTTTTTTTTCACAAGCCAGATTCTTACGGTATAGTACTAAGGTGCTTCATAACAGGCTTTCCTCTGGGCAGGAACTGGCTGGGCACTTGCCGGCTGCCTCTGACTGAAACCATCTCTGAGGTGTATGAGCTTTGTGCCTTCCTGGACAAGAGGGACATCACCTATGAGCCAATGAAAGTGGCTCTGAAGACTCATCTGGAGCCGAGGACTTTGCCACCCATGGATGTGCTCAGTAAATTTTTATTTTACTGTGCTCAAATGCAGTAAAGCTTCTGTGTTTCAAATTAGCATCAGGAGAGTGTCTAGAGACTAAAGAGGGAAGGAAAGGAGGGCCAAGGCCAAGAAGTGTAAATGAAAGAGAAAGGAAAGGTAGGGCAATATTTATGGGTTCTTTCTAAAGAGAATTTTTCATGTTCTGTGCCTTCTCCTCACCTCCAATCCCACAGTATATCACAATTACAGACAGGGATGCTGCATTTGGGGCTGCACAGGTCCCCAAGGGCATGCCTGCCCAGTCCCAGGAGCTAACATTTGTTTCTCACAGCCAGGTAGGGAGAAATGGTCCATGAACCCACTTAGCATGGAACAGAGGCACAGGAGGAATTTGTTCAAATTAAAATTACACAGTGATTAAACTAGGGCCTGAGTCCAAATCCAGTGTTATTTTCAGAAGTTAATTTTTTTTTTGAGACAGGGAATTTTGATTCCAGGCCCTGGCAGTCCTGGAATCCTCCATGTAGACCAGGTTAGCCCCAAACTCACAGAGACCCACCTGCCTCTACCTCCCAAATTCTGGGATTAGTGTGTGCCATTATGCCCAGCTAGTTGATAAACTTTTTTTTAAAGATTTATTTATTGTGTATACAATGTTCTATCTGCATGAACACCTGCACACTAGAAGAGGGCGCCAGATCTCACTATAGATGGTTGTGAGCTATTATGTGGTTGCTGGGAATTGAATTCAGGACCTCTGGAAGAGCAGCCAGTGCTGTTAACCTCTGAGCCATCTCTCCAGCCCCAGCTAAAGAACTAATAACAAGTTTTTTATGTAAAGTTTAAGCTATATTACTATTACTCAGTAACATTCAACATTCTTGAGCACCACCATACACCAGGACAGGAAGAGACACTGGGAAGCAGAAAAGTCAGCAACTTGGGTTCAGTTCCTATCTTCTGGAGTTTATGGTCTAATTCTGTACAGAAAGAGGGCCTTCTAGTGCCATTCTGAATAGGCACATGAAGAGCTGCACAACTAGGACATTATCAGCCACAGACCTGAGGGAGCTGGCAGTGTAGATGGCAGGAGCAGCGTCCTGGCTTGCTTGAGGAAGATGGGTAAAATGAAGAAGGAACAGCGCCTTTGCGCTTAGAATTCCAGAGGGCTTCCTTCCTCGTCCAAGACAGCAGTCCTTCTCATCTCCTGGAAGCATGAGAGCACCAGGAAAGGGTTGGGCCTAGGGTTTTTGTTTCTTAGAAAGGGAAGCCTATGAGTTTTGAGAGTATGGAATCTTACTGTGCAAACACTATTGATCAAAATGCCTTACTAGTTTTTCTTCTGGACATACAATGTGTTCCCTCTCATTGGTTTCCATAGATGAGGAGTGGACAGCAGGGATCACTATATATTCACCACAACAGATCATCAAGCTTTATGTTGGAAGCCACTGGTATGCAACCACCCTTCAGACCCTGATGAAGGTACTACTATGAGCCTCAGCTATCCTCCTACTTCAGCTTCTCTACCTGAACATCTTTGGGACTCATCACATGACCTTCACATAGCTTCCAGTGCTGCTTAGCATAAGAACCTTTTCCCAGCTCCCTACCAAGAATGTTCTGATTCTATAGGTAGAAATGTGATGAGCAGCATAGTTGAAAGGACTCAGGAATGTGGGTAGAGAAGGGGCTGGTTCTCAGGGGTCTGGACCAAGAAGGAGGTAGGGTTGAGTTCCAAAGCCCAGGTGTGGGGAGAGGGACTACCAGAAGCTGAAGCAGAGGCAATGTGTTTCTCCCTAAATTCTCCCTACTTTGTTTCCCTCTGGCCAATTTACAAGGAGATGGAAATCCCCAAACCTGTTCCTTACTAAAACACAAGACCTTGGGGCCGATTCTGATATATAACACCCTCCTTTAGTATCCAGAACTGCTATCCAACACTCAGAGAGTATACTGGATCACCTATGGACAGACCTTGCTCATCCACGGTGATGGCCAAATGTTCCGACACATTCTCAACTTCTTGAGACTTGGAAAACTGTTTTTACCATCAGAATTTAAGTAAGCTAACCCAAGAAACCAGATTCCAAAACTACCAAGGCTGATGCTCTTTGTAGCAAAGATGAACCCTCAGTTGTAGCATTTTGGGAGGAGGTTCTATTATTTTCAACATGGGCATTATTGTACAAGGCAACTCATTTAGGGGCTCATGTCTCCCTTTCCCTAGTCTACCATCTCCTTGTCATCTGCAGGGAATGGCCTCTCTTCTGCCAGGAGGTGGAGGAATATCATATTCCAGCCCTCTCAGAAGCCCTTGTACAGTGTGAGGCATACAAGTAAGCAAACTTCACTCTGAATTTTGTGTTTCTTCTTAGAAATGTTCTCAGGTGACAGTGGGACCTACTCTGCTCATAGTTGAGGGAGGAGGTTGGTTAAATAATATCAGTGTTGGGACTGGAGAGATGGCTCAATGGTTAAGAGTACTGTCTGCTCTTCCAAAGGACCTGGGTTCAATTCCCAGCACCCACATGGCAGCTCACAACTGTCTGTAACCTCAATTCCAAGGGATCTGACACCTTCACACTAATGCACATAAAAAATTAAAAATTTTAGGGCTGGAGAAATGGCTCAGAGGTTAAAAACACTGGCTGTTCTTCCAAAGGTCCTGAGTTCAATTCCCAGCAACCACATGGTGGCTCATAACCATCTATAATGAGATCTGGTACCCTCTTCTGGCCTGCAGACAAATATACAGGCAGTATAGTGTATAAATAATAAATATATTTTAAAAAATAATAATGTCAGTATTAGCTGATGTCCTATGCAAAACCCTTTGAAGGCCCCCTTTCGTCTATAATTAATTACTAATTTCCAGCCAGTGGACAGGCCTGACCAATTAGCTGATAGGCTGATGGAAGCTTCTTCTCACTAACTAATCCCTCTTGGTCTCTATAGGTCATGGACTCAGGAAAAAGAATCTGAAAATGAAGAAGCTTTTCCCATTAGGAAGCTGCATGTGGTGACAGAAGGGACAGGGCCAATGGTAGAGTTCAGTAGAGACACCAAGGAAGTAAGCCCCAGCATTCTTTGGTTGGTGTTGTCCTTAACCATCCTCACCACAGGGCTCAAGGGACAGGCCCAGCTACTGAGCCTTTTACTGGTGTAGTAAAAGAATAGGACCCACTCACATGTGTTACTAGTATAAGAATTTGTTTCTGAGCCTTACGGAGGCACAGGGCTGTGCAAGCCACTTGTGGCCTGGAATGACAATCTCTGCTTTTGGAATATGAAAGTTGGGCTGGTACCACTCCCTTTCAGACGGAGTAAACTTAAATGGTGACCCATCTCAGGGGATAAGATTTTTTCTGGGTAAGCAGGTTATATCAAAGCCCAGTTTTGGTTCTTGGGAAGACTCTGATAAAGTACAACAGGCCCATAGCTACTGTGCTCCTCTCTCCCCAGACCACAGCTTGCATGCCTGTGGACTTCCAAGAATGTAGTGACAGGACTCCATGGAACAAAGCCAAAGGAAACCTGACAAGGTCCAGCCAGATGGAAGAGGCTGAACAGTATACCCGGACTATTCAGGTCTCGCTATGCAGAAATGCCAAGAGGGGGGGAAATCCCAGCACATACTCACATTGTTCTGGCTTATGTGCCAACCCCAGACACTGGGGCAGTCACTCTGAGAGTCCTCCCAAAAAGAAGTGCACCACTATAAACCTCACACAGAAACCTGATGCTAAAGACCCTCCTGTTACCCCCATGCAAAAACTCATATCTTTGGTAAGGGAATGGGACATGGTCAACTGTAAACAGTGGGAATTCCAGCCACTGACAGCTTCCCGGAGCAGCTCTTTGGAGGAGGCTACCCTGCATGTCCCCTTAGGAAGTGAGGCTGCTTCCCAACCTGGTACCTCAGCTGCCTGGAAAGCTCATTCCGTATCCTCAGAGAAGGATACTGGTGCCCAGCCTGGGCCTGGTGCTGGAGTGAAAGACAAAGGTCCAGAGCCAATCTTTAAGCCATACTTCCCAACGAAGAGAGCTGTCACCCTAAAGGATTGGGGCAAGCAGAGGCCCAAGGAGAGAGGTGAGTCTGGTCCCATTCTTAACACATCTCATTTCAACAAAAAAAGTTTTCTTGGCTAAGACCTCAGAGGGTTAGTGACAAAGCAAGAATCAGAACCTCCTACTCTTTTATGCCAACTCTGTGCCAGGCAGTGGGTATAGAAATGAGTGGTACATGGGCTTGTTGACCAGAGGAGCCAAGAGATCATGTAAGGTCAAGTGATAAGCATTGTGTGGAAATAAGAAGCTAGGAAATAGGAATAGAAAAGAGGCCAGCCACTGGGAAGTCAGCAGGGCAGGGAAGAGAACATCCGGGGTTTTGTGGAGGTGCAGGGCACTGCTCTAGCTGGAGGCCTGGTCTCCAGTGTACAAGCCATAGAAGTGATGCTGAAGACAGCAGTTATAAGGCCAGGTCTATGGGCCAACTTCAGAATGTGGTGTTCTGTTCTGATGTCAATATGGATGGACAACCCCTGAAGGTTTTTTTTTTTTTTCCTAAGGGAGCACATGATAAGGTGTATGTTTCTG